TCCAGAAGAGAATCGCGGGCAGCAGTTTGATGTGCCCAAGGAGTTGCCGGGTGGGTTGCCATTTATGAAGCCTGAGGATTACCAGTACTTTGGGGCGTTGTTGAATGAAGACGAGGAGGAGGAGTTGTCCCCTGATGAGCAGAAAGAGCGGAAGATTATGAAGCTTTTGCTTAAGGTTAAGAATGGTACGCCACAGCAGAGGAAGACAGCGTTGAGGCAGCTTACTGATAAGGCTCGGGAGTTTGGTGCTGGCCCCTTGTTTAACCGTATCCTGCCTTTGCTTATGCAACCCACTTTGGAAGACCAAGAGAGGCATCTTTTGGTGAAGGTAATTGATAGAGTGCTTTATAAATTGGATGAACTGGTACGTCCTTATGTGCATAAGATTCTTGTTGTGATTGAGCCTTTATTGATTGATGAAGACTATTATGCGCGTGTTGAAGGGAGAGAAATTATTTCTAATCTTAGTAAAGCAGCTGGTTTGGCTACTATGATTGCTGCTATGCGTCCTGATATTGATAACATTGATGAGTATGTTAGGAATACTACTGCGAGAGCTTTCAGTGTTGTTGCTTCTGCTCTTGGTATTCCTGCACTGTTGCCATTTTTGAAAGCTGTGTGTCAGAGCAAGAAATCATGGCAAGCACGGCACACTGGAATCAAGATTGTTCAGCAGATTGCCATTTTGATCGGGTGTGCTGTTCTTCCCCACTTGAGGTCCCTTGTGGAAATTATAGAGAATGGTCTGAGTGATGAAAATCAGAAGGTTCGGACAATTACTGCGCTATCACTTGCTGCTCTTGCCGAGGCTTCTGCCCCATATGGTATTGAAAGCTTTGACTCAGTCTTGAAGCCATTGTGGAAGGGTATTAGGTCTCACCGTGGTAAGGTTTTGGCTGCCTTCTTGAAGGCAATTGGTTTTATCATTCCTCTTATGGATGCAATGTATGCTAGTTACTATACCAAGGAAGTGATGGTTATTTTGATTAGAGAATTCCAGTCTCCTGATGAAGAAATGAAAAAAATTGTGCTCAAAGTGGTGAAACAGTGTGTGAGTACCGAAGGTGTAGAGCCTGAGTATATAAGAAGTGATATTCTTCCTGAGTTCTTCAGGAACTTCTGGGTTAGAAGGATGGCTTTGGATAGGAGGAACTACAGGCAACTGGTGGAAACAACTGTGGAGATAGCAAACAAAGTGGGTGTTGCTGATATAGTGGGGAGAATTGTTGAGGATCTCAAAGATGAGAGTGAACCATATAGGCGAATGGTTATGGAGACAATTGAGAAGGTGGTGGTGAATTTGGGTGCCTCAGATATTGATGCTCGGTTGGAGGAGCTTCTCATTGATGGTATCCTTTATGCCTTCCAAGAGCAGACCAGTGATGATGCAAATGTGATGCTTAATGGTTTTGGTGCAGTTGTGAACTCTCTGGGGCAGAGGGTGAAACCTTACCTTCCCCAGATTTGTGGTACCATTAAGTGGCGCTTGAATAACAAGAGTGCAAAGGTCAGGCAGCAAGCTGCAGATCTTATTTCGAGGATTGCTGTTGTCATGAAGCAGTGCCAAGAGGAACAATTGATGGGTCATCTTGGTGTTGTCTTGTATGAATATTTGGGAGAAGAATACCCAGAAGTTCTGGGATCAATTCTGGGAGCACTAAAGGCAATTGTGAATGTTATTGGTATGACAAAGATGACGCCTCCTATAAAGGATTTGCTTCCCAGGTTGACTCCAATTTTGAAGAATAGGCATGAAAAAGTCCAGGAGAATTGTATTGACCTTGTTGGTCGTATTGCTGATCGCGGTGCTGAGTTTGTTCCAGCAAGGGAATGGATGAGGATCTGTTTTGAGCTTCTTGAGATGCTGAAGGCTCATAAGAAGGGTATCCGGCGTGCTACTGTGAACACTTTTGGGTACATTGCTAAAGCCATTGGTCCACAAGATGTCCTGGCAACTCTACTGAACAATCTCAAAGTGCAGGAGCGTCAGAACCGTGTTTGCACCACTGTGGCAATTGCAATAGTAGCTGAAACCTGTTCTCCTTTTACGGTTTTGCCAGCACTGATGAATGAGTATCGTGTTCCAGAACTTAATGTGCAGAATGGTGTTTTGAAATCCCTCTCTTTCCTGTTTGAGTACATTGGTGAAATGGGGAAAGACTATATCTATGCAGTGACCCCATTGCTCGAGGATGCCCTCATGGACAGAGATCTGGTTCACAGGCAAACTGCAGCTTCTGCTGTCAAGCACATGGCTTTGGGAGTAGCTGGATTGGGCTGCGAGGATGCGTTAGTCCACTTGTTGAACTATGTCTGGCCAAACATATTTGAGACATCCCCGCACGTTATAAATGCTGTCATGGAAGCGATTGAAGGGATGAGAGTGGCTTTGGGTGCTGCTGTTGTGCTCAACTACTGTCTGCAGGGGCTGTTCCATCCTGCTAGGAAGGTTAGGGAGGTGTACTGGAAGATTTACAACTCGCTGTATATTGGAGCTCAAGATGCCCTTGTAGCATCCTACCCTTTGCTGGAGGATGAGGATCATAACGTATATACTCGGCCTGAGCTAATGATGTTTGTATGAAGCTGCCGCAGCAGCTTTCGTATTTAGACAAGGAGCATAAATCGGTAATAGACAGTTTTAAAGAACAATGTTTAGGTATTATGTGATTTGGTTACTGTAGTTTTTCTAAATCAGTATTGTAAACCCAAATTATTTGTACTTCACTATGCTTTCTTTATTCCATGAGCTCCATTGCATAATCCTCATAGCTTGCTTTGTTCTTCCTTTCCCCAGACATCACTTGGACCCAAATGAATGGTCCATTGGGGAAGCATAATCTTTTTTCTTTTTTCTTTTTCTTTTTTGGTCAATTGGGAAAGTGATTGTTAGTGTTGCAATATTTGCCTCTTCTTAGAGCATCTCCAGCGCAGGAGAAGAACCGGGCAAAAGGCCCCCCTTGCAAGCCCAAGCAGCTCCAGCGCTGCAGCCTGCAGCCTGGTTTGGCGTGGGTCCCACCAGCCCGGGCAAGCCCAAGGGCAGGTTTTGCCTGGGCTTCAAACCGAGTTTTGTGACGTCATGCTGACGTCACGCTGACGTCAGCGACCAAAAAAATATTTAAAAAAATTCAAAAAATATCCAAAAAATTTTCAAATTTTTTTTTTAAGCTGCCGCAGCAGCTTTCGTATTTAGACAAGGAGCATAAATCGGTAATAGACAGTTTTAAAGAACAATGTTTAGGTATTATGTGATTTGGTTGCTGTAGTTTTTCTAAATCAGTATTGTAAACCCAAATTATTTGTACTTCACTATGCTTTCTTTATTCCATGAGCTCCATTGCATAATCCTCATAGCTTGCTTTGTTCTTCCTTTCCCTAGACATCACTTGGACCCAAATGAATGGTCCATTGGGGAAGCATAATCTTGTTTCTTTTTTCTTTCTTTTTTTTGGTCAATTGGGAAAGTGATTGTTAGTGTTGCAATATTTGCCTCTTCTTATGGGTCGAATTTGGACCTGTGGTTCATTGGTCTCCTCTTTCGATTTTGCTTTTTCTTTTTTCAAATGAAAATGTTGCTTAGTAGAGTGGACTTAGAAACTATTTGCCAGTGGTCTTTCACGACCACCTATGTGGGTAGCGGTTCAAAACCCCTATACTTAATGAATACTAGTCTTTCTGCACGCGTTTCTGCGTTGATAGGTTTTTTTTAAAAAAATTTTAATTTATTTTAGAATTATAAAAGATAATGGGTTGTTGTGTTCCATAAAAATAGAATCCATTATCTGATTTTTTTTAATTAATTTTTTTAAATATAAAAAAGTGTGAATTTACCATTTTATCCTCATTTAATTAATAATTTCAATTCTTAATGTTTGCATTAATCAAGGGCATTTTAAGGTATTTTGAATGTTTTACAATTCTCTACCTTTTGCTTTATGTATATAGATTTATGTAAATCTCCTTTCCCAATTGTTTGTACTAAAAAAATAAAATAAGATTAATTTAGAAGTTAGATTTAAATTGGACGTGGTCTTTCAGACCTTTCAGAATTCCAATTCATCACGAGTGGTCTTCGTACTCTCAAACAAATGGTTTGTTGTAGCAGCTCAATGTCGCAAGAGTGTAGTTGTTCACATAATTTCTTTTGTGAAAAGGTTTTTATTTATTTATTTATTTAATTTATATAGAAGTTTAAGGGTCAAAACTGAAAATGAATAAATTAAGATAGTAAATTGAATTGGATATAATGGGAATATAAATATATGGCATTACATGAATTAACCAAATTAGAGTAGTTTATTTGTATCAAAAAAATTAGAGTGGTTTACACTATCGCTTGTATTTAAAATGAATTAACCAAATTAAATTGTTATGCATAATTAAAACTAGCCTCTCTGCATGCACTTCCATGCCTGCGAGAGGCTTTTTTTTAAAAAAGTTTAAATTTATTTTAGAATTAAAAAAGATAATGGGTAGTTGTGTTCCATAAAAATAGGATTTATTATCTGATTTTTCTTTTAATTTTATTTTTTTTAAATATGAAAAAGTGTGAATTTACCATATTATTCTCATTTAATTAATAATTTCAATTCTTAATATTTGCATTACCCAAGGGCATTTTCTGATATTTTGAATGTTTCACCATTCTCTGCCTTTTGCTTTATATATATTGATTTAGACTATACAATTAATCCAATGTTTATAAATATGCCACATCGCCTACAGTAAGTTAATTTTCTTTGTCTATAAATTGACACCATTATATCTATTTTCCTATCCCCTCTCAACTCTCCCACTCATTTTCTCTCTCATATCTTATACACCCCATTTCTTTTTGTTACATTATTTTCCTTTTTTTATCTCAATCAATATTCATTGTGATTTGTGAAAAAGTCTCTAATAGCTAGAATATACAACATTGATTTCTATAAATAATAATTATAAAAAAAACCCTTAATATGAGAAATTGAAAAATCTTTGCTTAAAAGTCGAGAAGAAAAGCTATCAAATTCCAAACACAACGACTTGCGAACCGAACTGAACCGAACCGAATTGTGCTCTGACACTTTGCACCGCTTTTGTCCACATAGATTAGCACAGGGACAAGAGACGGTGGGTTAATTCTGAAACTCACCAACAACCCCCCAATTCCAAAGCTCAAAATCTGACTCTATCAAATTAGGCATTTCAATTTCTCAATCCTTCTGCCGATCAATTTCACCTGTCCACATAATTTAAGGTAGTTGTAGCTCTCTTCTCTCTCATACAATCCTTTCTTTTGTTCATTTGTGTTGGCTTTCTGAAATTGACAATCTTTCTGGATTCTGTCAATTCTTATTAAACTTTTATCAGCTACTATTGGATGCTTTTGTTTTGATCTCAGAGCCTCTTTTTCTTTTTCTTTTTCTTTTTTCTGAATGAATGAATGCTTGTTAATTCGAAATCATAATTTGGTGAGAGAGTATAAATATCTGTCTTTGGTTGTTCAAATACTGGTGCTGAATAGCATTGTGTACACATTACACAGTCACTGTGACATTTATTCGAACAGTTGTTATACGAATACTATATGGATAATTGGTGAAGTTTATTGTCTGCAAATCCGTATAAACAGATGTGCCATTATATAGATATTGTTGTTAATTGGACTTGAATAAATTATGAAAGGCAATTTGCAACAGTATCTGAACTCTCATGGTTTCGAAGGAGTTTCGGATGGCATGAGATTATAATTATGAGAAGTAGCGAAAAAATGATTCAGGTGTGTCATATGCTTATAATTCAATAGAATATGAAGCTTTTTGGTTGTGATGAGGGAAAAAATTGGACTGTGCTTGATGGTTCCTAAAATAAAATTTTAATCATGACTTCCCACTTCTTGTAAGATGTTGAACAGTTCATTTATGTGTTGAAAGCCCAATATTGCTGGAGAAGTTGAAAATTTTCTTCAGTGGAGGAAAAGGTTGTTACTTTTAAAGAGTAGAAAATACCCTCATAAAAGGGAAGCGTGAGAGAATAAAAGGAAGCTTGCGCTTTGATTTTAGTTGTAGTGTATTATAGTGAAACCAAAGAAAGCATAGTGTAAGTGTTGTAGCTCACTCGTCTGGTGTCGCAATGCCATCATGTCAGGTGGAGGGAAGCAAACCAGCTTAGCTGAGATCTAAAGCTTTGGACTACTTCTACTAGTCTGGTTCTGTGAACCCAAAAGACATCAGTATATTTGCCAAATTTCTGTGTTAGAACATCAAGATAGTATATCAGATTGTCTTTATATGGTTCTGTCAAGTAGCTTATAAAATGATCTTGAATGAATTTTCTCTATCAAAACCTTGTTTATAGTCACTTCATAATTTGTTTATGCTTCTTCATGTAATGGTTTATTTCATTTGTGGTGTATTTTTGAGCATTAAGAAGTGAGGGATATGTTGATTTCCTGCATTAATCTCCTGTCGTGCATGAAATAGGTGAATTTGTTGTGGCTAAGCCTATGTTGTAGTTTAAAGCGACTAATTTTCAATATTCAAAGCCATTGGTGTCACTGAACAAGAAATGTTGGTATCTTTGTGTTTTAAGGAATAACTACTGTATCAGGTGGTATTTAGGATGGAATCACCCAATCAACATGAAAACAAGCCCTCGTCTTCTGCGGCAACCCCACCGATCACTTCATGTCGAAGAAAGAAGAAGGATGATGCCAACTTCTTGGAGGATTTAAAGGACCATATTGATGAATTTGTCAATGCATCTATGGATGAACACAAAACTTGTTTCAAGAAGACTATGCAGAAGGTTTGTTACCACTTAAAGTTTAAAAAATGCTCTGTCCAAAACGTTTTCGTTGTAGAATTCATTTGCTTTCTTCTGCTGATTGAATAATTTTGCTTCCATTTTCAGATGTTTGGAATGTCAAAGATTGTTGCTGAGAGGAGTTCGGGCCCCAAGGAAGTTGAAAGTTCTTTGCCTCTTAGAACAACAGTGGCAGACTAGAATTTGTTCCCGTATATTTTGGTGATAGTTTGATCTACCCCTGTAACCAAAATTTTCTGGCGTCAAACAAATTTTGGTGATATAGAACCGTATTCTGGCTACGTAGTGATGTATGGTTTGTTCAGATTGTGTTACTTCGACTGCAATTTGGCTAGTGTCCAAACCTTAGCATAGGCCCAGCTTGTATTTGATAACTTTTTCAGCTCAAAATCCTTAATCAAATACCCAAAAACTAGGAATCATATCAACTAAGAGGAGGTCGTTGATCTGATTTTCATTTCTTGTTTATCCTATGCCCTTGTTTCTTATTCCCATTGCTTATGTACACATGATAAGCTTTTTTCTCTTACCTTCTGAGTAAAAGACCCATCTCCAATGTTCACTTCCATGCAAGGCCGTTGCCCAAAAACCGCATAAACAAAAGGAATACTTTGTTTTTCGATATATGGGGAGGGAGATTCACACATATAGTTTTGGGTGTATGGGTAA